GGGGCTAAATTACAAAAGTACAACATCTATAAATAAGGGGTTATGGTCCCTAACCTAGGGTTACATTCTCTAATTCTCTACACCCCCATCTAGCTAGAGAAATTTGGATTTAGAGAAACCCTAAGGTTAGAAGATCATCAAAAACTCAAATCAAGATTTCATCCATGGATTCAGGTATAAGCTTCCGCTCTTTTGATTATTGTTAATCTCTTTGAATTAATCATGACTATATGGTTTTAGATCTCAAGTTTTTATGATGTAGATCTAACAAGGATTTCTTGCAATACAATGCTATTTCCAACATATTCCTTATCCAACCTCACTTCCCCCTCCTACCAAAAAAAAGCCGAAATAGATAAGTGTGAGTCTTGACGGACTACACCTGAGGCCATAATTAAAAATATAGACGAAACTTTAAAGTATTTAGTTATTTAAGTGCCCATTAGCCTGCAAAATTAGACTTCAAAATTTTTGTCCTTAGGGGCTGTTTGGTTCGTGTCCTAGATATAGGGAAATGCAATTCCATGCAAAGAAACACAAGTTTTGAGTTTTCCAAACTTTTCCAAGAAATAGATTGTTTCGGTTTGGTTCGCACATAAAAAATGGTGGGAAACCAATGTATTTACTTTTTTTATGTTTGGTTCGCATGGAAAAAAAGGGAAAACTTTTGTTGGTTTGACATTTCCCACTTTTCTTGTGTTTGGTTGGGTTTTGAAATTTGTAAGGAAAAATATTTATGATCACCATGGTAAGATTACCCCCATTATATACAAACTTATTTGTGCTCGTTATATGAGGTAATCTTAATCATATAATTCAAATGTAACATGAACAAATAATAATATCCCCAATGAATTATAAATTTCTGTTTGTATTAATGAAATCATACGAAACCTGAAATAACATGAATCAATTTGTATGAACTGCGTACCTGATTTGACTTGAAATATACATAATTGAGATTGAAAAAATCACACAAAACCTGTAATAACCTGATTATTCATAAATTTATGTAGTACATACCTTTATGTGCAAATCGCATCAAATCTAATAATTTGTGCATGTTGATGACCTTTATGTGCAAAAAATCATGCTTTAAAATAATTATTGACATCATGTCAAATAAATCAGTCACATGTATATGCGAATTATGGCTGTGGGCTCAGAACTTGTTCAATATCATCATTGTTAGCCTTTAGTGCAATATCAACAGATATTGCAGGTTGCTAATCTCAGAAAAATTGACCATCATCATAGCCTAAATTGAACACAAATATAACTCCAAGTGACTGAACACAAACATAGCACAAAGCAAAGCATCAGGAAATCTGGTGAGTCCATCAACCTGAAAAAAGGGGCATGCTCATGTGGACTGTTTTGAACAAATAAGAATAGAACCTGCTGACAATGACAAAACCGACGTGGTCACAAACTGAACACAACTAGGCATGGTATAGCATCAACAATATATGCACAAAAATTGGTCGAGAACTAAAGCACAACACAACCAGACTCCACAACACAACACAAAAACTGGCCGAAAACAAAAGTACAACACAACCAGTCTCCACAACACAACCAGGCTCCACAACACAACATAAAAACTGACCGAGAACAAAAGCACAACACAACCAGGCTCCACAACACAACCAGTGCAAACACATATATGAAGCTCATCAAAGTCACCAGTGCTACCAGAATTCAAAGATAAACCTTCTTGAAGCTCATCAAAGTCAACATCACCAAGTGCTTCTTCCAACTCCTTTTCAAGCTTAGCCAAATCTTCTTCAGTTACTTCATCGTCACCATCAACATCAGACGAGTCATTCTTTAGATCTTCTTCAAGCAGATTAAAAAGTGCCTCAAAAGCATCTTCATCTATATCAGCTTCCTCTCCATCATCATCTGGCTGTGTTTTCTACAAAAGGAAAATATACAAAAGAACTAAGCTACATTTACCATTCTTTAACCATCAAGTTATCAGACAATAATCAAAATAAAGGAGAACAAAAGGAACAAGGAGTAAACGTAGACAACTTAAGAGAAAACTTTGAGCAAAATTTTGCATTGACAAAGAGCATTCTCATTACGCCAATGTATTTTGCTTAAGTAAGTTTAGGAAAAAGAAGAAGAAAGATGGCAAGTAACAATTAAATATCTCTCATCTAAAAGTATTTACTGCCAAATTAGTGAATTATACAAGTTGATTCACCCATCTTGTTTACTAAGTCTCTTTTACAGTTACTTGACTGAAGGATATAGTTTGCTAAATTTATCCTTAAAAACAACAGAATTGAACAAGAACAGTTTGGGCAATTCCGCAATATGAAACTAATTTAACTCGTCTGAATTTCCGCAATCCGACATGAATTTTAGTCGTCCGACATGAACCCGACATCCGACATTTAAAACATTGGTCTGAAGTGAATAGAACTGAGTGGATTGCTATTCCTCAAAAGCAAGTGAACTAAAGGCATTTTATCTGTGCATATGCGGAGACATACAACGGATGAAACTCTCCAACAATCTCGCCAAAGCATCCCAATTATGTGTTCTTTCCATAGCTAAATCCATCAAAAACTTTGAAGAAAAGGTGTGCCTAACAAAAACCAATCAGTAAAAGTTGTGAAATATTCACTTCAATACCATAGCTGAGGTACTATCAAATAAGTCTTGTATAGATCAAAGAAAATTATAGTCAAAACTACATAATCTCCGGTTGTTTACTGGAGATTATGTAATATGCAGTGTGTGATTCTAATGTCTAAGCTAAGTTTAGGAGGAAAGAATAACAGACCATTTCAACTTCAATCAAGCTGAAGAACAAATTTCATGAAAAAATGGCCGCCAAACTAGTTCTTAAATTTTTATAAAACATTAAGAAATGTAGTACTAAAACAGCAAAATCTGAAATTCAAAATATAAGAAAGCAAACATAATAGAATTTAATCCTCAGCTAAAAGCCAATCTTTTAAGCTCGCATACTCCAAAATTCTCAAACTTTTTTAAAACTCAGTTGCAAACAAAAAGATTGCAAATTTATACGGGGTAAATCATTCCCTCATGAATTTGAACAAACCCATTTTGATTAAACAACAAATTAGTAAGATTTAATTGTTAGCCACCTTAATTTCGGAGATTTTTTCTCATTACTGGAAATTAAAGAGCTGCTCTTCTTATTCCGGCGTGCGAAAGCCACGGCGAGCGGGGGAGTGCGCATCGAAAGAAGAGTTGGCTTCGAGGGACCCACCGGCAGCTGCGACCTGAAACTGAGATTCCCGCCATTAGGGCTTGAAAGAGGGGAGAAAACCCTATGAATCAAAGAGGACGAAGACGAAGCAGAAGCTGTCATCAGCGAAAGCGTGAAGGGAAAAAAAATCTGCTTGGGGTTTTGTGGAGATTTAGCAGGATAAATAAGCACGTGAGATGCACACAGCTTTTCTTCCGCAGTTAACTTATCTCGTCTCATCTCCTCGCCTCTCCCCACCACCGCATGACCGGGGTCGTCGGGGTCGGCGGAGGGAACGCCGCTGTCGCCGACGAAGTCTGCCGTCATCGGGATTTCAGATCTGAACAGTCGGCAAAGATCAGACACCCTCCCCCAATTTCTTTGAACACAGGGGCAAAGCTGGGAGTTTCTGGCGGGAGCGATGCGAATGAGGTGACTGTAGCTCACCGAAGAATTCAACGACGAAGAAAAAATCCGACGTGGGCAGGTTTTTCGTCGATTTCTGGGAAAGGAATTGGGGGAGAGAAAAAAAACCGCCGTGGAGGCGATTTTCTCTTTGGTTTCCCTCTTCTGCCCCAGCGAAACAAAGCTGGGAAAGAAAAACCGCGGAAATGAAATATCCAATGTGGAAGGCAAAAAAACCGACGTGGAGAGGTTAAAAAAGTTTTCCACAGGGAATAAAAGCGAACCAAACAGCCCCTTAAAAGAAGAAAAACCAAGCATAGTCCAGCGCGAAAAGTTAAAGGCTCTTCTTTTTCTTTCTATATTAGTCTCCCAAATCTTCAATATTTTGAAATTAGTCTCCAAATCTTTGCGTTGTAAATTAATCTTCTAAATGTTTTAAGTATTTTGTAACTAGTTCTCTAAATATTCATAATTTCAAATTAGACCTCTAAATGCGTCCAGTGTTTCGAAATTACTCCCCCAAATCTCTTTATTTATATAAAATAACTTTTATTTCAATTGAATCAAATTAGCAAAAGCCAATTTGGCCACATTCTCGGGATAGTTATCAGACCGTACACACGAGCAAATCATCTTTGATTGTGTCAATCACATGTCCATAATGAGAAAGATTTGGGATCTCTAATTCTATTATGATAACTGTGCGTGCTACTAACTAGAGAGATTAATTGCAAAATCCAAATTAAAGTTGTAGTTAACTGTGGGACCCACACGCCTCGTTAATCAACAGTCCCAGTTCCGGGTCCAACTTAGTCGTCCGCGGTCCACTATCTTCCCATAGGGCAGGTTTCCTTCGTTTCCTCGACGAAAGCGGAAAAACCACAAAAAAAAAAAAGAAAAAAAGAAACCCCTTTTCCAAGAGAAAACAATGGCGCGATCAGCACAAAGATCAAACGGTTCCACGACCGAAACCCTAACCCTACATCGGGACGATCGCGCTTCCTCCCCATCCAATCGCCAGCGCCAACAGCAAATCCTGGTTCTCCCCCTCAGGAGGCCGAAGAAGAAAGTGACGTGGAAAGAGGGGACGGTCGACAACGAGTTAAGAAGTGCTGCATCTTCCACAAGGAGAAGCCCTTCGACGAGGACGACAGCGATGACGACGGCGATTTCAGCCATGGATCGGATCGTAAGGAGAATGGGGAGGGGAGCAGTGGGTGTTGCTCTCGTCGATCGAATTGATTGGTATGGATCTCTATTTTAGGGTGTGAATTTGATTAATTTCCTGAATAGTTTATTTATGTGGCATTGTTTATGTTCGAAAAATCGAGTCTCCTAAATTCCTCTATATAATATTCTAGGAGAACTGTAATTTGTTAAACTGGAAACTCCACTGGGAGTTTTGGCTGATGGCGAAAGGGAAATTTGTGTAAAGCGATGCCTTTGAGATTGCTTGCCGTCTGCTATTGAGAGTGCTAGAGTATAAAATTATAACCCTCGACCCTCACCGCAGCTTTGTAGATTCTGTGTAGTGAAAGAGGTACATTTTAACATAAATTCAATTCCCATTTATTACAAGTTTAAAGCGGATTAAAAAAATGCCACCGCATGGGTTCTGGTTTTGGTCCATAAAAAGTATGCTTAACCTGTGTGGGAAGTATACAAATTATGATCCTCAACCTTCACCTTAACATTAGAGTTTTGGTTTAGTTGCAACGACCTTTTAACATTGAGGTTGTTTCGCCTTTTAATCGATGATAATTTCTTTTGGAATGATGCATGAGATGCTTCATGCACATTAGAATAGATAACTGCACTTTAACAACTTAGTTTGTGGAAATTATAGTTGTTAAATATTTATACACACATTGTGGGTTGAGTAGTTGCTGATAGTATCATTTTGAATGGTTCATGAGAAGCTTGATGGACACTAGGAATGGTTACTGTGAGTTAACAACTCAGTTGATGGAAATTATAGTTGTTACTATTAATACACACACATTGTGGGTTGAGATAAGAAACTAGGAGGACAGAAATGGATTAAATTAATTCACTGTCAGAAATAATGGAAGTTAAGGATGTGTGGCTCTAAATCTAATACAATCACGCTCTAGTACAACCTACTACAATACTTAACTCTTTCACAAGCCACTCCCTCTTAACTTTCATACCCTTATTTCTCTCTCTTTAGTTTTCTTTGGCTTGAGATATCTCTACTGATTGTATGGCTTATTTATATAGAATTTCCTTACTCTGTTTAGTCTTTACTTTAACTATGAAAAAAATACATGGTAGGTGTACTTACCAAGCATGAATAGCATGCTTGAACATTGTTCATATGGTAGGTGCTCCTATTGCACATATCCTAAGTAAACCACATATATTGGTGATGATATTAACATCCCTCTAGCATCAACCTCTCTAATAAGTCTAGGTTGATTTCTAAATTCTACAAACTAAAAAAAGCTCTCTTTGGACTGAAACAAGCTTCGAGAGCATGGTACAACAAGATTGGTGGGTTCCTAATTCAAAGGCGCTACTCGCTCCTGCAAATTCTAGTTTATTTCTCAAAAATAATGACGATAAGCTAGAAGTCGGTGTTAGTCTATAACACCCAAGTTCCCATAATTGTAATTATATTAGCCTGACTCGGTCGACAATGTAACGGAAGGAATATAAAAGAACCTTCATGTTCATTCAACCAAATTTCAGGGCCACGGCAAAGATTGTCTGGATATTCTACCGAATCTCCGAATAGATAATCAGTCTTCTTCAACGGTTCAGTAGAATCTCGAGTTGGAGTTAGGGGTGAATCAGTCAGTAGAGCGCGCAGGGTACGACGACCTCCCTCACGAACCGCCTCTCTAACCAGAAAGTCGCCGCGAAAGGAGGCGTGAAGAGTACCACTCTGGCCTGGGTCTTCTCTATCAGAGAAGGCCACAGAAGGAAAGGGGACTGAAAAGAAAAGTTGGAAAACATTTGAACAAAAAGGCTAACAGACGAGAAAACCCGCACTAAGCAGCCGCGACAGACGTGGCCGTCGCGCGTTACCGCGGCGGCATACACTGTCGCGTTCAGGCGCGACGGCACGAGCTGCCGCGGTAACTGAGCAGCGGCCTTTGATGTTGAAAAGACACGAGTTCGACGAAAACGCGCGTCTTAACTGTGGTACATGCCTCGATTGAACAAGGTATGTGTTTCGAAGCGTCAATCCCCTCGATGGGGGATGTCAACTCTTCCCGAATGCCTCTCAATAGAGACAAACGAGGCTAGATGCACAAGATCAATAACCTCAGATAAAGAGAAGTGGAAGAAACTTACCCCCAAAGGAAGGAACTGCAGCCTCGACATCCCCAGGTGCTGGTGCCGCTGATTTTCCCTTCGAACCACAAGTCTTCTTTGGAGACATAATGAGACCGAACTAAAGAATCAAAAAAAAATTAGGGTTTTTGTGAGATCCCAAACAAAAGAACGAAATCGGGCCATAAAGCATAAGATGCAGGGGCGATTTTTACCTGGGATTAGAAGAAATCAAGTTAAGAAGCAGAAAATCACCCTGCTTATAACTTTTTCCAATAAATTCTATCTGCAGAGCATGTGCATATTTGATATATCAATAAAATTTTGAAATGAGATGAGAAAAAGATAGTTCAAGAACAATAAGAGCCTTAAAGTGACTACATCTATCCAAAGGGAACAATAGGATATACATGCAAATATTTTGAAAGAAATGCCACATGCGGCCAACAAAAATGTTCTAACATGAAATATCTAATTTGGAGGAAAAGATATGAAAACTATTCAGGAAGAATATGATCACTGCCTCTGAGTCTGCTCTTGAAAATACTCATGGTCCTGTCGAGAAAGATCAATTGCCCTGTCCGGGGTAAACAAACCCCAGGGGAGTCAGAAAACTCCCAACAAGTGTGTAAAATGAAGAAAGAGAACACATGAAGGTGTGTGAGATAAATATATATACATAGCACCTGGGTTAATAATATGTAATTTCTGAAAGATTTCTATTACGACCTGGTAACATATTGCAAAGCATGCGGGTACTTCAAAATAAAAGAATATTAAACTAAAAATAGTTTTCTATAGCTATTAAGTCATATACAACACATGTTTGAACTTGAACTTGATCAAAAGCAGATATTCTAAATAGATATTAGAACAGGAACTGACCAAGGTTCATGAATTATATGGTTGATAATTGGATAGGAACAAGGAAATAAAGAGAATACAAATTGAACATGAATTCAATCTATTTACATCTCTTGCCATCAAACTTTCATAGGGTGAACAAAAATCATTTGGCTTGTGTATGACTCGTTTCTCTCTAACAACTAAAGAATCAATATAAAGATTTAATAAAAAATTATTTATCAGATGTGTAGTCGTACCATAAAAACTCTTGGATGTGCGAAATTTCCTCTTGGTATACACATGTGATAAATAGATTTGAGAATTCATAGATCAATCCTTCATCAATCGAGGAGCAAGATACACAACAAATTGTAGTTGTCAATAATATGATTTGATGAACTTCTAGCAAAAGAATCATAAAGGAATTGAGATCAGAATGAAGTACGAATAAACAAGACCAAAGAGAGAAGTGAACACTTGCCTCGATTGGCAAACAAAAGATGAAAACCTCCACTGATTACTCTCCTCCTCTAGGTTGCAGAGACTCTAATATCTGTTTCTTTTTTTTCTTTTTTTTCCCGTGAGAAATATGAGGGAGAGGGATCATGGGATTAGTTTTTAAGGAGATAGGTTTGTTAAGATTCCCTTAGATTTAAGGATTATGGATTTAGTGGTTAAGATATTTCTAGGATAAGGATTTTAATTAAATGAGTTTTTTGGGCTTAACTTTAATTGGACTCAATACCAAATGATCAAAGAACCATTTGCATATTAAGTCTCAGCCTTATTTTGCACTGAAAATACCGGCCATCATATCTTACCCACATTAGAAAAGAATTTCGAGAACGAAATTCAAAATAACATGAAAGATTAAAATTATACCATGTCCACCGTGCTCGAGGTATTTGCCTGCTTGCAGTCTAAGAGAAAGCTTGTCTTTGACCTTGAATTTGTCCTTGCTATCGGGGAATTGTTTGTGCAACATCATACTGGTGGTACTAAAGTTGACAAGCTTCTCATTGATGTTGTGGTCTCCTTTGTCCTCTAACCTATTCTGCCATGTTGGTAGTATCGTTCTTGATCCAACTCCAACTCCACCTCCTTTACGTGGGTAAGTTTGCAACTGGTGACCAGCTGCTTCATATTATAAGCAAAGACCATTGACCTTCTTGCATTCCTTCTTCACGTGTCCATGCTTACCACAGTAGAAACATACTTTGCCTTGCTGATGTGATGCTGGCAGAACAACATTTGTGATCTGCTAACGCTTAACTGGTGCTCCTTGTTCATTATTTTTCTACTGAGCGGCTTCAAAACTCTGTCCCGTTAGGTGCTTGTGACCCTTGCTCTGCGCCATGTTAACGATCCTAATCAATTCAACCTTACGGGTTGCTTCCAAGACATCAATATATTTCTCTACTCCTTGTTGGTTGTAAATATGCTTTTGGATCTCAAAATAAGACCCTGCATAAATTTGTCCTTTGTCCTCCTCATTGGTCACCATGGTTGGGGCGAATTTGCTTAGTTTGGTACATTCAGCCGTATACTAATCCATTGTACTGCCTCTTCTGCCTGAGAGTCACAAACTTCCTCTGCATCTCTAGACGAGCTGTCTTGGGGAAAAAAGACTCGAGAAAACTTTCCCGGAACGTCTTCCATGAGATTAGCCTAGGAAGCTTCTCCTCCTCTGCGTCCCACCATGTCCTGGCAGCATTCACGAACTGTAGTTTTACGATGTCTATCGTATATTCATCTGGTATTTTCGCTCCCTCAAAAGACGGTCCATGGTATTTAATCACATCCGCCTCGTATCCGCTTCGGTTCCAACAAAATTTGGTGGATTCAACTTTCGAAAATCGGACACGCCACTTGGCCTTGTAGCTTGATGCTCCTCATCTCTTTAGCGATTCCGCGCCAACAACTCTCTAATATCCCCTACAAGATCTGTCTGATCAATCTACTATCCCTTTGGCCTAATTGGTGCCCGACGTGGAGACATAGTGATCACCTAAGATAAATTAAATTTTGATTAGGATTCTAGAATCAATGATAGCAGGGTTAAAGGAGAGATATTGTGAAAGAGTTAAGCCTATTTCATACATGCTTTGTTTTCCTAGTCCTAGTCTAACTATTTTCCTAACTCATTTGTGCAGGATGAGACACTAGTTATCTAACCTGACTTTGATACCAATAAAATCTTGTCACGTCCCAGTTCCCAAAATTATAATTATATTGGCGTGACTCGGTCGACAATGCAGTCATGAATTTTTTTCTACATGATTGCATTCACATCTCTAGAAAATCACCTTATAACTTTTTCCAATAAAATTTCTATCTTCAGAGCATGTGCACATTTGATATATCAATGAAATTTTCAAATGAGATGAGAAAAAG